GAGGAGGGCGACGAGGACAACTAGGCCCCCCCCCAATGCGCGCGCGGGAGGAGGGCGACGAGGAGGACGACGAGGAGGGCGACGAGGAGGGCGACGAGGAGGGCGACGAGGACAACGAGGACAACGAGGGCAGCTGGACTCACGCGCGGAACCTCGGGAAGCCACGCGCGGGAGGCCACGTGCGGCGGGCGCGCGCGCCTGGCCGCGCGGGGGCCGAGCGCTGGAGGGGCACCTGGCCACGCGCGCGCCCCGGCCCTCGCAGAGGCCGGCCGCGTCGCGCGCGCCCGGCCTCCTGGCACAGCAGGGCGGGGGGGAGGAGGAGGCGGAGGAGGAGGCGGTCGGGGGAGGGGGGAGGAGGGAGAAGAGGGGAGGAGGGAGAGAGGAGGAGGGCGAGGGGGAGGAGGAGGAGGAGGAGGAGGAGCAGGAGAGGAGGAGGAGTGAGGAGGGAGGAGAGAGGAGGAAGGAGGGAGGAGGGAGGAGGGAGGAGGGAGGAGGGGGAAGAGAGGAGGGAGGAGGGAGGAGGAGGAGAAGGAAGGAGGAGGAGGAGGAGGACGAGGGAGATAGGCGGAAGAGGAGGAGGAGGACCAATGTAAACCCAAGACTCATCAACGATGTCGGAATAAAGCTTCCCTCCAAGCTACCACTTCATAGGACCCTACAAAGTTTCAGTTCCACTGAGGGTACTGCCTCGTTGGGAGACAGCCGTTCGAAGACCCTGAAACATGCCAAAACACTACTGTCGGGACTCCAACGCCACGGAGCAACCTGACTTTTGCGTCTCGACTATCCTGACTCGCGCCAGAACACCATTCATGGAACTTCAACACCGCGAACCCATGTACCTGCTGCACCCTCACAATCCTGAATCCGTCCAAACCACTATCTCAGATACGTTGACACTGGGAACCCGTGGAACTGTTGCAAATGTGTACGACGAATGTGCGCGGCGCTATGGCGAGAATCACATTTTGAACACAAACCGCCGTCAATCCGTAAAACCTTTGCTACTACTTAAGACGAACGTTCGCAGTGCTAAGGTGAGAGCCACATTTCGAGAACGACCCGTCCTCAATCCATGAACCTTTCGCAACAGTGTACGACGAATGTGCGCGGCGCTACAGCGAAAACCATTTTTGGAAACGTCCCGCCCGCAATCCGTGAAACTGTTGCGATTGTTGAGGTGCGCTGCGCTACGGCGAAAGCCAGATGTTGAAACCACCCACCCTCCATGTTTGAAACTGTTGCCAATGTTTAAGCTTCAGGGTCAAAAATGGTGAGGACGTCTCAGGCGAAACGCACGGTCCGTCCTTTCGACAGGCTTCGGGGTGCGACAGGGAGAAGTTACTTATAAGGATTATGCTAACGGAGTTCCCCACATCGTTTTTCCCTACCTAGGCTCTGCCTACGAGGGTTCTTACTCGCTTGGCTTAAAGGGGCCGGGCAGTGCAAACCGCCCCGGGCGGTTCCCCCAGTCCCCTGGGAGCCAAGCAAAAGCAACAGCAAAGGTAAAAGCAAACGCGCGGTTCCCCCAGTTGCGCTCCCTGGGTGCCAAGCAAAAGCAAAAGCAAAGGCAAAAGCAAAGGTAAAAGTGAAGGCAAAAGCGAAGGCAAAGCAAAAGCAAAAGCATAGCATAGCATAGCATAGCATAGCGCAGCATATCATAGCGCAGCATAGCATAGCATAGCATAGCATAGCCAGCATAGCCTAGCCTAGCCCAGCATAGCATTGCGCAGCATAGCAGAGCAGAGCAGAGCAGAGCAGAGCAGAGCATAGCATAGCAAAGCATAGCGCAGCACAGCATCCACTATTGTTGCTGCTATATGTATATATGTACTTATATGTGTGCGTGCGCACGTATGTGCCATGCATGTTGTCCATCTGTGGGCCATCTTGAGCCCTTAGTGGGGCAGCTTGAGCCCTCAGGATCCACGAAGGTTTCGCACATAGCACTGGCCGGGAGACATGAAACCCGACGTGTTATCGCATGATGCCCGCCGAAACAATGCTGAACAGTTTGTTGCACCGATCTGGGAGTTGCTGCTGCTGTACAGTTTCGTAGGAACGTTCGGTGTAGCAAGTGTTGCACAACCTTGCTCAATGCCAAATCGTGTTGTGTAGGCCGGATCCGGAACGTTCTCAAGCACACCCGGTGAGCGAATGCAAAAACATGCGTGTGTGTGTGTGTGTGTCTGTGCGCAGGCACAGCAAAAGCAAAACCAAGCAAAAGCAAAAACAAAAGCAAAGCAAAAGCAACAGCAAGAGCAAAAGCAAAAGCAAAGGCAAAGGCAAAAGCAAAGGCAAGAGAAAAGGCAAGAGCAGCAAAAGCAACGGCAATGCAAAGCAAAAGCAAAACCAATGCGAAAGTGTAGATGTAGATGTAGATGTAGGTGTAGGTGTAGATGTGGATGTAGGTGTAGATGCAGATGTAGATGTAGATATAGGTGCAGATGTAGGTGTAGATGTAGATGTAGATGTAGGTGTGAGTCTCGCTGTTGATGTAGATGTAGATGTAGATGTAGATGCAGGTGTAGATGTAGATCTAGCTGTAGGTGTAGATGTAGATGTAGGTCTAGATGTAGATGTAGGTGTCGATGTAGATGTAGGTGTAGATACAAATGTAGATGTAAAGAACTCCCCAGTGCCCCGCCCTCATCTCCTTGCCTGCTTGCTTTTGCTACTGCCTCGGCGACTTGCTGCCTGCTTCTGCTACTGCTTCAATTACGGCGTGGCGTCGGCGGTTCTGGCGCTACTACTACTACTACTACTACTACTACTACTACTACTACTACTACTACTACTACTACTACTACTACTACGACGACTACGACTACGACTACGACTACTACTACTACTACTACTACTACTACTACTACTACTACTACTACTACTACTACTACTACTACTACTACTACTACTACTACTACTACTACTACCGCGACTGCTACAACTACGACGATGAGGAGAAGGAGGAGGACGGCGTTTACCGCTCCTACTAATGTTGCTTTCTTAGAGGCTCCAACTACTAGGTAGGGTCGCACTGGGATAAGTTTACTAAGGCGCGGAATTACAGGGGGGCGCGGAAGGTGTAGCAAGGGCCGCGGAACCTCGAGACAGTGTGGGTTTCGCATACCCTCTTCGCTCAGGCGGGGCCTCCCTGGAGAATTGGGAGGAGCACGACACCTGATACATAACATTGCTTGCGAATACCCTCCTCGCTCATGCGGGGCCTCCCTGGGGGAGTGGGAATGGTCACGAAACATGATAGATAAAATGGTGTTCGAATACCCCCTTCGCTCAGGCGAGGCCTCCCTGGAGGAGTGGGGCGCGAAACCTGATAACAAGATGTTCGAATACCCTCCTCGCTCAGGCGAGGCCTCCCTGGAGGGGTGGACGGGACACGAAACCAAATAAATACCATGGTGTTCGAATACCCTCCTCGCGCAGGCGGGGCCTCCCTGGAGTGGGAGGGGCACGAAATCTGATAACAAGATTTTCGAATACCCTCCTCGCTCAGGCGATCCCTCACGGGAGGAGTGGGAGAGGCACGAAACCTGATACATGGAATGTGTTTCGAATACCCTCCTCGCTCAGGCGAGGCCTCCCTGGAGGGGTGGACGGGACACGAAACCAAAAAAATACCATGGTGTTCGAATACCCTCCTCGCGCAGGCGGGGCCTCCCTGGAGTGGGAGGGGCACGAAATCTGATAACAAGATTTTCGAATACCCTCCTCGCTCAGGCGAGCCCTCACGGGAGGAGTGGGAGAGGCACGAAACCTGATACATAGAATGTGTTTCGAATACCCTCCTCGCTCAGGCGAGGCCTCCCTGGAGGGGTGGACGGGACACGAAACCAAATAAATACCATGGTGTTCGAATACCCTCCTCGCTCAGGCGGCGCCTCCCTGGAGGAGTGGACGGGACACGAAATTATATGAATGACATGGTTTTCGAATACCCTTCTCGCGCAGGCGGGGCATCCCTGGAGTGTGAGGGGCACGAAATCTGATTACAAGATTTTCGAATACCCTCCTCGCTCAGGCGAGGCCTCACGGGAGGAGTGGGAGAGGCACGAAACCTGATACATAGAATGTGTTTCGAATACCCTCCTCGCTCAGGCGGGGCCTCCCTGGAGAAGTAGGAGGGGCACGAAACCTAATACATAGCATGGTTTTCGAATACCCTCCTCGCTCAGGCGGGGCCTCCCTGGAGGAGTGGGAGGGGCACGAAACCTGATAAATAGCATGGTTTTCGAATACCCTCCTCGCTCAGGCTTGCCTCCCTGGAGGGGTGTAGGGGCACGAAGCCTTGTAAATGGTATGGTATCCCGATGATGTCATCGCTCGGGCGTGGCTTCCCTGGAGTGGTAGGTATGGCATGGTAGCTTTGGTATTGTAGGTGTGGTTGGTACGGTAGATGGTATGGTATGGTTGGCATGGTATGGTAGGTATGGTATTGGTATGGTATGGTAGGTATGGAATGTGGTAGGTATGGTATAGTAGGTATGGAGTTGGTGTGGAATTGGTGAGTGTGGTATGGTAGGTATGGTATGGTATAGTACGTATGGTATGGTATGGTATGGTATGGTATGGTAGGGTAGGGTAGGGTAGGGAGGCGGGAGAAGAAGAAAGAGAATAAGGAGACGGAGAAGGAGAGGGTGTTCCAGGACAACATGAGCCCCACTCAGGATTTGGGAAAAAGAAATGGAGGAGGAGGAGGAGGAAAAGGAGGAGGAGGAGGAGGAGGAGGAGGGAGGAGGAGGAAGAGGAGGAGGAGGAGGAGGGAGGAGGAGGGAGGGAGGGAGAATGAGGCGGAGGAGGAGGAGAAGGGAGAGAGGAGGAAGGAGGAGGAGGGAGGGAGGAGGAGGCGGAGGAGGAGAAAGAGCAGGAGGAGGAGGAGGATTAGGAGGAGGAGGAGGAGGAGGAGGAAGAGGAAGCGTTCGGCGCGCACGGCCGAGCCGAAGCAGCGCCCCATCGCGATCCGCCGCCCCCGGGGAGCGCGCCTCCGGCTTCGGCGTGCTCTCCAGGAAGAGGGTCTCGTGCGGAGACATCTTGCTGAACACCACCTGGGCAGGGGGGAAGGCGAGGGGAGGCGAGGCGCGGGAGGCGCGCGCCGCCCCGCTGGCGAGCCCGCTCCTGTCCAGTGCGGCATGTAAAACAGGGCTAGGATCGGGATCAATCGCTCCAGAGCGTTCCGGAGCGCTCTCGGAGCGTTCCGGAACGCTCTGGAGCGGCCGGGGCGCCCAATACATCCTCCAAACCCGCCGATTCTCAGAGATTTCGAGTTATCCCGATCCGATTTTGTCCCGATCTTCGCGTCGTTTTAGCATGGCGTGGAGGCCGCAGCCTGCACCAAGGAAAATTGACCGATCGGGCATGCCCGGACAGGGAGGGGGAGAGGGGCGAGAGCGCCGAGCACGAGGAGCAGGGGGGGAGGAGGGCGAAGAGAAAGAGGACACGTCTGGACGTGGCTGGGAGTCGGGCGCCAACTCCCCTACGCCGCAGGAGCGGGGACCGAACGAGGGCCCGAGACAGCGGAACGAAGGCTGACATAAACATAAAAACCCGGAGGTCCAGCGCGGAGTTCTCGGATCCTGGGACCTTCGGGTCTTTATGTTATGTTATTCTTCGTTCCCCATACGAAAAGACTGACGGGCGAGGGCCAGAGGAGACACACGGCTCTAGGAGAGAGAGGACGAGAAGCGACGGCACGGGGAGCGCGAGGATCACGCGTCCATGGGGCCAGCGCAGGACACGAGCCCGCCGCAACTTACAGGGGCCCACGGGGCAGCGGACCTCCACCCCGACAGTCGCCGCGCTGGCCCTGAAGCAGCCGTCGGGCCGCGGGCCAGTTGTCATCCTTCTCCTTCTCCGCCTTCCTTCCCCCCTCTCCTCCCTTCCTCCCTCGCCCCTCCTCCCTTCCCTTCCCTTCCTCTCCCCTTCCTCCACCTTCCTTCCCCTCCTCCCTTCCCTTCCTCCCTTGCCTTCCCTCCCACTCCCGCTCCTCACTCCGTCCCGCCCTCTCCCTCGATCCTTGCGCGGCCATGTCCGTCTGGGTGAGAGCGACTCCAGCTGATCGCCACCACTTCCCACGATCCTGAGCCTGCTCCTCGGTTGCTCCCATCGCACTTGAGGACCACATCCCAGGTGTCGAGAACCCCGAAAGGTATCGTAACGGTGTCGGCCCGACACGCCGGCGAAGCGCCGAACGCGTGTCGCCTCCCAGAGCCCGACGTGAGAACACTGCGGTCTCGACAGTTCCCTCGGTGCTCGAAATTCGTTCTGGCGGTCAAGGCCAAAGCAGATTGGACCATCTCGGGGGCGCGCAAACATGGTTAGCGATCCATGGATTTGGCGCGCGGCCGCCTAATCCATGGATCGGGGGAGGTGCCCTCCCCCAAATGCGGCCGGTGCCGCCTCGCTCGGCGGCGGGAATCCGCGATTTCCCGTGGAGACGGGACCCGTCGCTAATCCACGCCCCCTTAATCCATGTTTGCGATCGCCTGACTGCTGTTTCTCCCCTCCCTTCCCCCTCCCCCTCCCCCTCCATTATTTGTCCTCCTCCTCCCCCTCCTCCTACTCCTAATCCTCCTCCTCCTCCTCCTCCTCCTGCTCCTCCTCCTCCATTTCCTCCTCCTCCTCAACCTCCTCCTCCTCCTCCCCGTCCTCCTCCTCCTCCTCCTCGCTACTCCATGCTTGCGATCGCCTGATGAAACATCGTGAGCGTACTCCTTCTACCCCCGTCCTCCCCCTCTCCCTCGTGCGGCGGGCCGCGGCGCAGCTCTCGCGCCTTGAGGATGGAGGTCTTGCCGGCCCGCGGCGACCCGCACAGGAGGATCTTCGGGGTGTCATCTGCGGCATCCTGGAGGGGGTCATCTGGACAGGGTGCCATCGTCGGGGTGTCATCTTCGGGTGTCATCTATCTGGGGGGGGGAGCAGGAAGCAGGAGAAAGCCTCATGCCCTGACCTGAGCGCCTGCACGAGTTGAGGCTTCTTCTTTTTTTGTCGGACGGCGATCCTCGGTGACCACGGCCCCGTGGCCCGTGGCACATACGACCGTGAGGCCGATGGCCAGACAGCGGAGAACAAGCACGGGCGAGCGAAGCGAGGAGGAGGGAGAGGGAGGGAAGAGGAGGAGGAGCGAGCTGCGAGTGCGTGACCCCATGATCCCAACGATCATTCATATCAAAGGGCACCCCACAACTCAAGTCCAGGAGAGGCCGCACAGCTCAGCCCCTGGCACAAGGTTGGAACAACCCATGACTCCAGGCAGCCACTGAGGAAAGAACAGATGAGGACAAAGGGGGAAGAAGGAAGAGAGAGGACAGCAGGAAGAAGCACAATATGCGGGAGAAGTGCCGAACAATCCCAACACTCCCCAGACATCTGAAGCGGCTCTGCCGCACGGGAACTGGCCAAGTGGTTGGCGAAAACGGCCGGAAGGCTGGACAATACGGTCTCATGGGCGACTCCCTGGCTAGGGAGCGGGCGGTCAGACCGGGTGGCCCAGCACCAGCCCCCTCCGCGTGCAGCCGGCGCGAACGCCAATTCCAGGGTTGAGCGACCGGCGAGAGCGGCAGGAAGAGACGAGGGGGGAGGGCAGCTCGTCTCGGCTGCTCGGCACACCGTGCCCCAACGCCCATCGGCCACGAAGCCGGAAGGACACGATAGCTTCCACCACCTAGCGCCGAAGGGTGCGGCGGCAGAGGGGGGAGGAAAGGAGGAGGGGGGGACGGGCGGACGACGAGGGGAGGAAGAGGGCCCCCCTCGCCGAGCCTCGTGGCTCCGGCGCGCGCGGAGCGCCATCCAGCGGCCTGGACGCCAAGGCCGGGGACACAGACGAGGAGGGGAGGGAAAAAACGGGCATGACCTTCAACTACGAGCGAAAACGGAGTTAAAACTGTTAAGCCGCACTTCCGGCTACGGGCGAGAACGGCGTTAGAACTGTTAAGCCGCATTGCTTCGCAGTCGAGGAGGAAGAGGAGGAGGAGGAGGACGAGGAAGAGGGGGAGAAACGACTGCGGCGCCCATCGCGCGACGAGAGCACACGGGGCGAGGACGCGGCCGCGGGGTGTGAGCCACACGAGCCCGCCGTTAGACGCGCGCGCCCGCGCCTTAAAAAGAGGATTCCACAAATAGCCCGAGCCCAAAGATGTTGTGGGTTTAAGGGAGAAGAGGCGGAGGGAGGGGGAGGGAAGCACGAGACAATGCAACCCTTCTGGTTGCACCGGACGCTGGTGAGGCCATGCACTACCACGAACCTTCCGCGCCAACACAGAGAGAACCAATTCAACCAACAAAAAACGACCGTCATGCATGTCGTGCTGCCTCCTAAAGGGCCATGCGAAAGGCTCCGCCCAAGTTGGCCAAGGGCAAAGATCCCGTGCGGCGCGCGTTGTGGACCCTGCACAACGCGTGCGTGGCCCACGCGCGCTGCTGCGCCTCCCCCTCCGATCGTGTGAAGCCGAGGAAAAGGTCCAGAGCGTCAGCAGACGTCGACCCGGCGAGACCGGCACGCGTGTGAAACAGGCGGCGCACTGCTGGACAGCGCGCGGCGCACAAGGCTTATTTTAGGATGATGCTAGTCGGCAGACGCACCTGGAACGCATTTGCTTCGAGTGAGCATGATGCAGCATGTCCTGATTGCAGCTGATGTGCCAATGCGTCCGTCTCTGCGGAACCTGACATCCGGGACAACAATTCATATAGAAACGCCGTCCACTCCACTCACTGTTCGGCCAGTGACACAATGATGGGATACTGATCTGAGGAAGAAGACGCAGCCAGTCGAAAGCTATGATGCGCGTTCGCTCAGCTTCAATCACGAGTTGCACAATGGACACCAGCTGGGTGGCTCGACAGCGAAGGAAGAGAAGCAGCATGACGGAGAACAAGGAAAAGGGGAAAACGAGAGGGCGGAGGACGAGGGCAAGGAGGGGAAGCACGAGCGGGAGAAGTGGCAGTGGGCTGGGCGGAGGAACGGAGAGAGGAGGAGGCGGAGGTCGAGGTTGAGAACGACGACGACGACGGGCAGCAAGAGAACAAGAAGCTGAAGGGAGAAGCAGGCTCGAGGCGGAGGAAGGAGAAGACGACGGCACGGAGGGAGAGGGGGGGGCAGGAAGGGCGGGGGAAGCGGGAGGCGCAGAAGGAAGGGAGAGCAGTAAAGCAACAAGAAGCTGCATGCGCATGAACGCGAGGAGTTCCGAGTGCAGTTGTGTACGCTTATGCTGTTGTTCTCTTCGTCAAGGCAGGAGCAGGGATAGGACCTCGGAGCAGGAGGGACAGCTGTGAAGAGGGTGGAGGAGATGGGCAGGCACCCCCGAGGACGCAGGCTGCGCTCGGCATCCCGCGGTCCTCCATATCGCGCACAGAGGGCCCTGCAGCGGGGCCCCCCCCCCTGACTGCGGCCACGTGCGCCGGGTCAGTTCATCAATCCGCCTCCTCTTCCTCCTGGGCCTCTTCATCCTAGACCTAGGTTTCCTGCCCCCCTCCTCCTTCTCTCTGCCTCCTCCTCCTCCTCCTCCTCGCCTCCCCCCCTGCGTATTTGGCAGGCGCCCTGTGGACTCACCAATCGAACCACAAGGCAGCAGTTGCAGGTTACAGTTTTCATCGATCTACTGCAGGCAGTGGTGGCGCTCTTAGCTGTCATGGCAGTGTCTCAAGGTTGTGCTTAGATGGAGCACCCTTCCCCCCCAGCTTGGGAACCCAGGAGTGCCCCTCTTGGAGCCTCATGCCTCCGAAGGCGCTCTGTGATGCCCGCTGTGTGAGCTATACCGTTTTTGATCAGTGTGAGCTTGGTCATCTTGGCCGAGCACCTGCGAGTCTCCTAGGCATTAGGCTTCCGGATTTACATTCCATGCTTCGAGATACCCACGGGGGGGTGATGCTCCTATGGACCAAAGGCTCCCTCGGCCCTAGCGTGCTGGGACCCAACTTTGAAAAGGTGGAAGACGGCTCCGAAAAACGTGTACCATCTAAGATGTGCCAAGCTATTACTACGGCCTTGCTCAAAACCGTCCTTCCCTCCTCAGTCAATCTTCCTTGCTCCCTGCTGAATTGCACGATTACAGTCGAGAAATCACTGCACTCAAGAAGTTCTTTGTTGAATCAGCCCGCATCAGCCAGGCTCGCTAGGCCCTAGTATGGGCCCAGGTGTTGCTCTAACTCCCAAGGCCCCTTCAACCATTGCTCGAATCCCTCGTTTGTTGAACCCTGGTGAATCCAGGACCTCGGGTGAGGATGACGAGCTCGAAGGTGCGCACTCCATTGTTCTTGGTCACGCGGAGGCAAGCAGCCCTAGCTCTACCTCTTCCTCCCTGGCTGTTGATCCTCATCCTCCTCTTCCTAGTCCTCTTCCTCCTCCTTCTCCTCCTCCCCCTGCACCTCCCCTGCCTCCTGATGTGCTCACACGCATCGCTTCCAATCGTGAGGAAGCACTCGGGCGTCTTGGCGACAGGTCCCAAGAACGTAAGAAGGTTCAAGAAAATGTGACTGCCTTGCTTCTGTCAGGTCTCATTTCGACCCTACCTCCCTCTCGGAAGGAAATGGTTATACCGATCTGCACCGATGTCTTCGGCCTTGCAACTGCTCACTCATAACATGGGGTCGTTAGTCACTTATAACTGGCGGGGGGGAGTGTGCGCTGATCTGCCTGTTCTCAATCGCAAACACTCGCTAACTCCCTCCCCCTCCTAGCCTAAGGTGCATGACGGCGGTGGTGCTCCTTCCATGCTCCCGCTTGCGCCCGTGCCATGCAGTTCGTGCGGCAGGTGCCTGCGCTTGAGTTTCCACCCGCCGCCCTTCGGCCGCTAGGCAAAGGAAGAAGTGGAGTGGCAGCGAGGTCGGGAGATGTCCCTGGGCCCTCAGCCTTCTGGAGTGTCTGCGCCTTGGTGGTCCCGAGTGTTTCCTGTGTCCGTTTGGGGGGATTCAGGCTGGAGCTATGCTTCACCCCCTCGGGTCTCTTCTCACAGAGAGAAGGTTTCGTAGACTGCCGATCCGATCAGATCCTCATCCCCCTCCTGATCCTGCTCATCTTCCTCCTCCACATCCTCGTATTCCTCTTCGTCCTCCTCCTCCTCCTCCTCCTCCTCCTCCTCCTCCTCCTCCTCCTCCTGCTCCTCCTCCTCCCCCAAATCATGACTGTGCTCCTTATCCCTCATTCTCGTTGTCCTCATGTCCATCGTGCTTCAGTCACTGTTTCATGTATCTCTTCCTTCCGATTGTGTTTCTTACTGACTGTCAACCTTTCATGTATTCTTCATCCTTCAACTAATCCTCCTGTGCTTCCATACGTTCCTCCCACTCCTCCTCTGGTTCCTCCTCCTCCTCCTCCTATTCCGCCTTCTCCTCCTCCCCCTCCTCGTCCTCCTCCTCCTCATCCTGCCCCTTTTTTGCTGCCTTTCCACAAGTATGTAATTGTGTCCCCTCCGCGGGTTCAAACTCCTCTTCATCTGTGTCTCCTCTGTTCCTGTGTCTTTTTCCTCCTATCCTTCCAATTCGTAGTCGCATTCCTGACCGCACTCGTGTGGAGGTAGACAAAGCGAGCATCCGTTGCGCTTCTGACCGTGGCCCATTCACGAAGATGGAGGGCGAAAGCCAGACTGAAAGACTTCTGCGCAACACCGGCAAAACGCAAAGGACTTCTCAAGGCGAGGCGGTGAGCGACGCCCCCGTATGACTTTTGAGAATCGACATTCATCACCACCATTACCATCATCATCATCATCATCATCATCACCATCATCATCATCATCATCACCACCACCACCACCACCACCACCACCACCCCCCACCGTCGTCGTCGTCGTCGTCACCGTCGGCGGTGGCGGCGCCTGCTCGGTACTCCCCTCCATGTCTGGAGTGTATTTATTACACCAGGGTCCAACTACTGTTCGTTCCTCCTCTTGCCCCCCCCCTGTTGCCTCCACCGTCCGCGTCGCCCTTTCTCTCCTCCTCCTCCTCCTCCATGTTTTTCCTCCTCCTCATCCTCCTCCTCGTTGTCCTCCTCCCCTTCCCGACCCACCTCCCAACTTTTTGGTGTTCAGATTGTCCTCTGTATTCCTAATGATGGTGTCCTTTTCTTTCGCCACGTAATACCCTCTCGACTAGCACTCGTTCAAGCCAGTCGGAGTGAAATGGCAAAGGCTGGCCGCCCCCCCCAACAGCGGGGCCCCGGATGGCATGAGATACTTTTGCAATTGCGAATCGTCCAAAACAGCCTGTCGCAGCGCTGTTCCTAACTTCATAAAAGCTTGGTTGGCTTGCATGTGTGTTTATACCTTACCTCTCGAGTCGGTGAAGCCGACGTTTAGCCCCAAGCAAGAACGAAAACAATTACGCACACGGGAGTCACAAATCATCTTAAACCAACAACCACACATGAAACACGAAGTTCACATTCGCATCATACCAACGCCCCAAAAAAGTACGCACACACTCGTTTGGCGATGGCACCCGCGCTCGCAGCGACGAGGCGGGAGAAGTCCCCCAGCGCGAATGCGCAAGCGGCCGGCCCCTCAGAAGGAAAGATGGGCTCCCAGAGGATCGACCACGCCATACGCTTACCCGGGCGTGGGCAGCGGGGGCGCACTGGGGGCGGCGGGCGCACGTCGGCCCGAGGGCCACAGGAAGGCGCGCAGCAGGGCTGGAAGCCAGCACGAGAAGCGGGGCACGGAGGCGCCAGCGCGCCCAAGAGCGGGCCCTCCTCCGAGGACGCAGCGCGGCAGCCTGACCGCCAGTCGAGAGCTGGCGGAGCGGGCGCGCGGATTGCGCCGCCTACGACGGGCCCCTGGCCGAAAGCGTTCACGCGAGCGCGAAGAGACGGCGCGGGCGAGGCGGCGGCAGCGCGCCGAGGCAAGAGGCGGAGGGTGGTAAACCACGGAAGGGCTGTACACCACGCGAAACGGTTAAGAAATCATGGGTTAAGAAATTCATGGTCTCAGAAGTTGAATAAAAACCCAACATTTCTATTAAAATCTTAGGATTTACATTGAAACGTTAAGAATAATCGAGACTCTGGCCGAAAACTTAAGTTTTCTTAAGCATCGCCTAAGGTGTAGGCTACCCTGGGCCCCACCTCAGGCCCGATCGTAACTTGCGGTGGGCCCTACCCAAGGCCCTAGGGCAGCCTGGGGCACGGGGTAGGGCATACCCTAAGCCCCAGGGTGGCCTCAGGAAAACTGACTCTAAAATCCTGGGACTCGGCCTCGGGTGAGCCCAGGGGTAGGCCCTGCGGGAGGGCCTAGGGCAAGCCTAGGGTCAAGCCTGCGGCAGAGGTGTAGGTAAGCCCTAGGGGTAAGCCTATGGTAAACCTGGGGGTAAGCCTGAGAGGTAGGCCTAGGGTAGGCCTCGAGGTAGGCCCAAATGGGTAAGCCTAGGGTAGGCCTAGGGTAAGAGTAAGGGTAGGCCCAGGGGCCAAGCCGAAGGTAGGCCCAACCTCCAGGTTCGGTCGGGTTGGGCGAGCGGCGACGCTACAGCATGATGCACGTTCGCGCTGGCACGCACGCCACGCGGGACGGTCGTGCCTGGTAGGCTGGGCACTAACACATGATGCAAATTCGCGCTGGCAACCGCGAAGAGGGGCAGGTACGGGCAAGACGGGAGGGACACTAATGTGCACGCATTCTCGCGCTGGCACGCGCCCAAGGCTGAACCAGAGGGCGACGACGAGGACGAGGACGCCGCCAGGGACCGCGACGACGACGACACCCCCAGCGGGCCCGAACTGAAAAGCACTGGTTTCGGGAACCAAGCCCGTTCGTGAGTCCAGTACCGAAGATTCCCAAACCCTTCCTGAAAAACTCATCCTAAACCCCCTCAGGGAACTTTTTGGAGGGTGCGTTCCTGGACCCAAGGAGAAGGAGCAAGTTCGGCGGAGCGCGGGGATCTGGGGCACCAAGTTACAGACAAGACTAAGCGACAACCCACATTGAAGAACTTATCGAAATCCTCCCTCAGGGGGAGCCCCGCCCCAAAAACTGCAATGGCCATTTCCCCCAGAGCACCCCATGAAGGCAAGCTTCAGGAAAGGATAAGAGCGGTATCCTGGCCGGCATCCAGAAACTCAAACTCAGGATCTAAACCCCACTGAAAAAACGCCCAAGGGGGGCGCGGCTTGGCTTGGCAACGATTTCAGCGGGCCCCGCGGGCCCAGCCGGGCGCTCGAGGCCAGGCTCGAGCGCAGCTCCCTTAGATCAACTCGACGCAGCCGACAACAAATGCCAGAAAGAAAAAATAAAAAGGAAAAACAAAACAACAAAAACTAATATCTACCCGACAAACGGGGAACCAGAAGAGCGGAAGGAAGAAGTCAGAGCGGGGGGAAGCCAAAAAGGCCGGGCGGCAGGGTCGGTGACAGAGCGAGAAGGGCAGAACCAAAAACACTCGCACATGATTGACACATGAGGTGTGATCAAGCCAACAAACTCCAGATGAAAAACAAGTGCAAACGCATATCTATATATAATCACTCTGAGACAAATGAACACGCCGTGGCAACAGCAGCCAATGTGTGCACCGTCAATATGCTGCGGACTATTCACTGTAGGTCACCCTCGAATTTGGAAAACGGCAGCACCCTTCGAACACGGGGGCAAATCTAACTTCATTCCACTCGATTTCTGAGGATACACGCCACACTTCATCGGGAACGAGACCTTCATCCATCCAACAGTCACAGGCAGTAGTTTCCGAAACGCTACTGTCGAACGCAGCACGAACGGCAAGAAGTCTGAATCCATCATGGCATGTGCAGTCCTGGTTTTCGTGTACCCATATATGTGTGTATGTGTGTATGTATATATATGATGTTTTATTCATACCATGTGTACCCCCATTTTCATATATAACCAAAAAACTGTGCCCTCCCGGACAGCAAGAGCCAGGGTATCGGCGGGAGTGTTGATATCACGGAAATCGTGCTTACATGGGTCACGTCCCGCGCTCGGTGCTCTGAAATGAAAACGCGTACAAAGAGCACACATGATATTCCAAATAGACACTACACGTTTCTGCTACTGTTGCGTCTCCAACTCCCAGAAATTGCTTATCCTGGATATCACAAGAACACGATCCCCCGTGAGTTCAACAGGCATCCGAGGCTCTCCAAGGCCCCAAAATGAGCGCAGCAAATTCGTAACCGCCAAACGTTCGTTCAAGATCGTCTTCTCCTCTTCCTCCTCGTTAAACCTTCCTCCTTCTCTTGCTGCCCACACTGGCCCCCCTGGAATCCCCCTCGTCGATCGGGTCGACGGCGGGGCCTTTCTGCTGCACAATTGGGCATCGCATTTCCCACCGTACTCAGTGCAAAGTCGATCCACTGAGTCTCGTCGAAGCACAACCACCAGTCTGCGCCGAAATACCATTGGAAGAGCCAGCGCCGCGTCCGCGAAGACTTCACCTCCTTTCCCAACTGACGTTGCTCCAAGCTCTCCGTGGAAGTCCTCTGGCCCCGAGACGTCCGATCGCGAGCCAGCATCGCAAGGTTGCCACTGATATCACCACATCTCTGTCCGGGGAACACCGCAGTGAGGCGGCTGCCCCTCCACGCACGATCAGCCTTCGGCACGTCGCGAGAAATGGAGGAAGCGCACGAGCAACATCGAGCGCGAAATACATTTGACATCATAAGGGTATCTGAACCAATGTCTGGTATCCATGATCCAGACATGCAGCTGACTCCGTCTACGTCTGCGCTGTTCATATGTGGCATCGTCATCATTCTCCCGCCGGCGTGCACCCAAAATCACTGGCAAGCATGTACCCTCGAATCCACGCGAGCAGTCAGGCACACCCCCTCCTGCCGTGCATTCCTCGACCACTGACAAAACTACACTCTGGATACATTCGTGGTACCGTATGAACTCATGACTGAGTGGAACGGTCCTGCGACCGAAAAAGCCATGGGCATGAGCAAATTACTTTTGCACTGGTATTTGAATGGCATGCGAGCGCGGCACTCTCGCATTCAGCGAGCGCGGATGTGCGGTTTCATGGAAATGTGCTTGGCAGCTCGTCAGCTGGCCCACAGCTCGAGTTCACTTGAGACAACCACCCACGCAAGAAAGTACACGACTCAAGTTGACGCTCGAAGAAGATATGCCAACCTTTAAAAGCTCTCGCCACGTGTAGAGCATGATCATGTCATAACGAATGATGTGCTCGACGGCTTGGTTGCTATTTGCAGAGTACAAATAGTTTTTTGGTCGCACCTCTGGTAGCAAACCGATTTCATGCGTCCCGATACTCCAAACTAGCGTTCCTGAAATGTTCCGAACGGTGTGTTTCCCAGCTCCGTTGCTTGCCTATAGCTCGAATGAAGTAGAAAAAACAGCATCGCCTCTCAAAACTGAAGAGTACAAACAGTTTTTCGGTCGCAGCTCTGGTAGCAGACCGATTTGCGGCGTCTAGATACTTTAGACTTTCGCTCCAGATCATTTCCTGCAGATCGGTGTGCACCTCAGCTCCGTAGCTCGCCTACAGCTCGAATTTAATAGAAAAGACAGGCATCGCCTCTCAAAAAAATCCAGAGCGTGAATAGTTTTTCAGTCGCAGCTCTGGTTTCAGATCTCAGGCGCCTCCTGAACAGTTTCTGTCGGTAGGCGTGCATCCCAGCACCGAAACCTGCCTACAGCTCTACTTATGTAGAGCAACATGGTCTCTCAAAATGTTGCAGAATGCGAATAGTTATTCGGTCGCAGCTCTGGTAGGAGACTGATTTCAGGTGCCTCCATATTCCAGCCTAAAGTTCCTGGTCCTTTCCTGTCGATTGGTAAGCCTAGCGGCTCCGCAGCTTCCCTACAGCTCGATATAGAAAGAGAAGCACCAACATCGTATCTGAATAGTTACACTGTGCGAATAGTTTTCCGGTCGCAGCTCACTTAGCAGACACTTGAACTTCATATCATTTTCTTTCGGACGGTGTGCATTTCGTCTCGGAGAGAAGCCTGCGGTTCGAGCTACCTTCCAAAAACCATCGGGGGGATCAAAAAAAAACAAATACCGCCAACTTCTTTCTTGCAATAATATCCACCTGGTGGGCCTAAGATCAAGATGGCGAGCGGGAGTAAGCTCCTAGATGGGTGCAAGAAATACTAGTTCTCAAACGAACTGTTGGAGTCCGAGTACACATTTTAAACCGAAGCCTCTTCCTGAAAAACTCCGTCGAGATTTTTGAGCCAAATATCCCGCTGGCGCTGTCAAACTGGGAGCCGGCGGTAAACTGTCAACCAGGCCACCGCCGGGAACTGCGTAGAGCTCCTTGCACCCGTAATCATGCTATAAAAACACGAAGAAAGCTCCCTGGAGCATCGGCTTCTAAATTTAATTCAAAAAATGGCTTTCAACAGAAAATCAAATTTGGCCAAATGTTCTGAAAAAATACTGCAGCTACGAACCTGGAAATACCACGGGCAAACGCGTTGCAACCTACTACAGATGCGAAAAATCTTGATTCTGAAAACGAATCTTCAAATCCCTAACAATGTTCGATAAACTGGAAGGCGGCGGCAAGCCGTCAACCAGGCTACCGCCGGGGATCTCGTAGCCCTTGCACGCGTAAGAATGCTCTGAGCACAACAAAAAAGCTCCCTTCAGGATCAGCTTGAAAAATCGCAAAATGAAATTTCTATCCATGTAATACAACATTGGCTTCGCCAGGTGACTTGATAATAATACTGCAGCGACGGACCTCAGAATTTCACCGGCGAGCGCGGCATAACCTACCACAGGTGCGAAAAATCTTGCTTGCAAAAACGAAGTTTCAAATCTCGTACAATACTATGAAAACCGACCCCAGGTCATCACATTGTCCTTTTCGCCCCAGTCGGCCAACTAGCTCCACCCTGCTTCGAATTCCTCTAGTTATGGTCGAACTGGAAGCCGGTGATAACCCGTCAGCCAGCTTACCGCCCGGGACCTCTCAGATCTCCTTGCACGCGTAAGAACTTTCTGTGTGCAAGAAGAAAGCTCCCTGAGGGGTGAGCTTGAAAACTCGAAAATGATTTCTTCTGCTTACTACAAATTTAGTTTCGCCATGTGTTTTGACAAACGCACTGCAGCTACGGACCTGAGAATTTCACCGGCAAACGCGGCATAACCTACTACAGGCGCGAAGAATCTTAACTCTGAAAAAATTAGATCTCTTACACTAGTTGAAAAACCTACCCCAGGTCATCACATTGTCCTTTTCGCCCCAGTAGGCCAACTAGGAGCCAGCGATATACAGTCAACAATGGTTTTCGGGTTTTCGCGGGCCCCAGGGCGCTGTCCGCAGCGCCGCCCGACAGGGCGCCTAGCTAGCCTAGCAAGTCTAAGCGGAGGGCGCGTGCGAGCGCCTCGGAGGCAGCCAGCGCACAATCTGCGATCGTAGAATGCGGCGGCAAAAGAAAAGCACTGGAAGCGATGCCCCTCCAAACAAGGGCATCCCTCGGCTCGCTCCCCTGGGTCCTCCCGCGGGCAATCTGGCGAAAGCCAAATGGCGAAGGGGTAGCGCGGCAAGTCGGACCCCACTGACTGCAATCCAAGAAGCCCTTCTGCAGACAAAATCCACATCCACAGCCTCCTTGAGACGTTCCTTCGCGTCAGTTTTGAAGCCATCGGATGGAGATAGGAGCTTGTCCATCATGCTCCTGCTCGAGCAGGATCCCACCTGGATGGCCCAGGTGGCCCCCATCATTAAATGGGGCAGAGAAGTATGGTATACCAGGCTCGGCGTTCATCACTCTACGCTTTCTTCCCAGAAGATTCGGGACTCCTGGGGTCACATTTTTGGGAAACGCCTCCGAACGTGGCGGAGTGTTTCTAGCCCTGGGTCCGCGATGCGAAAATCTCTGGAGCGCCTGGGATGGCAAATGCCAAATTTCTGTACCTTGATCACGGATCGGGGTTATCAAATTTCGATGATCCTACAGTCTCACGCCATGCCGCGCCTCCAGTTGCGCGATGTCGTGTTCCGCAAGCTCGAGCTCGCCATCGGGGACAAGCACCATTTCCCCCATGGAGCTTGTTTCGATGTGGTGACGAAGCACCTCGCGTCAAGGAAATGCACAGCATTGGAAAAACAGGAACCTTGAAAGCGGCGAGCACAGGAGCGATCTGGACTAGGTTCTACGCCATCAGTCGAGGATATCAGCATTCGGACCTGTGCCCATTGGATTGCGTATGTCGGGACACACTTGTCCACCGTCTATGGAAGAGCCCTAAGTTGGCTGACCTACGTTCCGCAGCTGTCGATCCGGAAGTGCTGGATGGAAAAGACCAATCCGTGTCAGACAGATCTTTGTTTTCGCAGTCACTCGTGGTGGCCTGCCCCATCCAGGAAATTTGAACCCCGCCCCTCTGTCGGAAGGGTCCTGGACCGTGAAATGCTTTGTCGACGAGCCTCCCGATCCTTATGTTATCCAAAGCCAAATGTTTATCGACGGTTCTTGTCGTAGGCATGTCATTCAAGAGCTGAGCACAGCCGCTTGGCCTTGCACGTCATTTGTGAATGCAGTTAGGCAATGTGAAATGCGTTGTCCTGTCCACGCGCCCCTGCCTCAGACCCCGAAGCGCGCCGAGTTTTCGGGGTTCACGGGTGCCACCATGTGTCTTGGGGGCCCCTCGGACCTCTACACTGAATGTATGAATGTTCTGCAGCAATGCCTCGTCCCTGTAGGTGCCTTGTCGGACTATAAGCGCGTCTATGCGGGTCACATGACCCAAGCTAGGTACGACGAGGGTGTCAAGCACATCCAGTCGGTTAGCAAAGTGAAAGCCCACTCGTCGCTGAACGAACCTGGGTTGACCGACGATGAGTTTCAGGCGCGTCGGAAAGACATGTGCAAATGAAGGGGCCAAAGAGGCCTTGAACCTGCACCCTAGTGACCGTTCAGTGTTCAACGACATCGATCATCAAGTAATGTATGTCTCGGCGTGTTTTATCTTGGCGAAGAATCGTTTGCCACGTTCCCCCTCCTTGCGTTAAGATGGGGGTGTAGAGTATGTGGCACCTCTTCGGCCTGATAGATCCCAAAGTTATGTGCTCCTGGGTCTGGGTCGCTAAAATGTGTGGAGATGTGCCGTGTGCTGTAAGGCTACCAGAACTGAGACTTTTCAGAGCGTCATGTCATCGCAGGGAGGCCAACAAGAAGCAATATATTTGGAGGTAAGTGCTTCTTGGGAAGCACCCCACCAGCCTGGAGTTCGAGTGTGGACTACCGAACGCAGCCTGGCCGTGCGGCCACCATCGGAGAGTGGCGGGGTCGAGTCAGACTCTTCGGATTGACATATTTTTTCGGGTGTCTTTTCGCCCCCCCTATGTTGAAGCTACAGGGAGCGGAGACTCCGACTTCTTGTGTCTGGCGTAAATTTATGATGAGTGACAGGCCGACACCAGGGATGAGGCTTGCCTACCGTCCTGGCGTTATTTCCACCAGGGGTAGGGATTGCCGAGTCGTCCTGCCGTGGCCTTTGTTATTGGTCTTGAGACCGTATGTGCGCGCGCGGTCTGCACGCGCATCAGGCACCGCAGTTGCGGGGGAAGGTGTGCCGCACGCGTGGTTGGATTTATCCCGTGGCCTTATCGTCCTGGCGTAGTCCAGGCAGTCCTTCTTTGCGCGAACGTGCGTGCGCTGACTGCACGTGTATCAGGCACCCCAACTGGGAGCCGGCGGTAAACCGTCAACCTTGGTTTTGAGTTTGAGTCAGGGCGCGGACAGCTGTGACAGCTGAGCCCTAAGATTCCCAAACGGAGCACAGGATAGCTAGAAAGGCATCTCTTATCATCACACTGCCGAGCCACTGAGGCATAGGCATCGGAATAGGATGCAGGAACAAGGAAAAGGATGCAGCACGACATGTGAAATTGCAAAGGTGTAGGAACAGGTTAGAGATGAAAGAGGCTACCCGAAACGTGCACCACGGCCATACAGAGCCGCTGCGCTGCAAACATCACACAGAACACGACAGAAGCAGAGGCATCAAGCGAGAAAGCTTCCTCCGCCACCAACAGCCACGCCCCGTGTACACACAAACCTAAAACACCATTATGCAGCACATCCCTCCACAGAGCGACTTCCGTCGAAGAATCCACGGAGGCCGTCTAGTTTTGTTTTGCTCGCATGTTCAATAAGGGAAGTAAGGAATACAACGTAACAATTTCTGGTTCTGGCCATCCATGTCAGCCTATGTGCAGTCACTAAATCAATCAATCAATTGGGTATCTCGCCTTGGCCGCCAACTCGCGGTAGTTCTTTACATTGCGCCGCATCCATTCATCCTGAAAATTCGCCACGCATCTCATAGCTTCCGCAACGCTTTTGGGAACGAGTCTGTGGTGACAAAAGTCTCTGATGTCCGTCGACAGATGGGTCAAATTGGCTATCGAGCCAAGTCTCGCGCGATCCCGAAGAAGCGCTTCAAGCAACACAGCCTTTTCCTCGGCACCCGAGGCCACACGGCGATACAGCGTGGCAGCCGTGAAAGGGTGAACGAGCTTTACCCAGCCAGGACTTGCGGAAGCAGTATTTCCTGATCCTTAAATTACCCGCCAACTGACGAAAATAATCTGCGCGGTTACGTTTCTCCTCGTCCTCCGTCACAGCTGAACTCACAACTGCATTAGGTAAACTCCCAGTCGTGGAACTCCCAGGGTGTGAAGCCATAGAATCTTTATGATGAGGAGGCCAAAAGGTTACTCGAAGCATCCCAATGTGGCTCTGCAAGCGTTGTTCCATCAACCATTGAGCACCACTTGAGTAGAATGTCAAGCACCGCCAATGTCCGAAGCACCACCCCGCAATACGGTGCATCCTTATCTTGTCCAACCGACACTGCTCCCAGAGTCTCTGGATGTCCGCGTCCTCCTCCCCATCACGGTGGTAAGCCTCACACAGACGGTGCAGAGTAGCCTGTTTCAAATAGAAATTTGCCCTCTCTCGCAGGGTGGCCATTTGATCCCATGCGTGGAAGACCACATCCCAATCAGCGTCCTCCTTCTGCAGGTGGTCCGCCACGAGCAGGCGCGCGATGTGCCTCTGGAGCACCCATGTGGTAGCCGTGCCGGCGCACTCGACGTGATTTGAAGAACTGCACAAGTCCGCAAAAGAGGACGGAGGTTGGGGAGGGTCGCAAGTAGATGGATGGGCCGACTTTGACATAGAAGAGCCAGTTAGAACTGCCTGAGCCTTCGCCCTTGCCCGCCTCCTGTTTCTGCGGTGCCTCTGGCCTTTCCAACGGCCAGCATCCTCCTCTGGACTCGGCGCCTCCTCGGGACTCTCAATTCCCATTCGAAGTTTGTATGCCTTGAGCGCCTCGATCCGAGCATGAAACTCATCTTTCGGGAGCCGTTCGAATTCCCGCCAAAGAGCTACTGCATCGCCATTGGCACGGGCCCAGTCCCTGGCAGCTTGACACTCAGATCGGTTGCTCTGCAACTCATCTGAACAGAGCCAGGAAGAAGAAGCACAGTTATCTTTACGCTGGTCGACTTCGCACTCTCCGTGGGTTTTCGAGGATGCCAACGGCAGCGCCTCGGGGCCTCCACCTTCCCTTTGCACTCGAGAATAATCCAAAGGAACTGAGTGCAGAGAATAATCCAAAGGAGCTGAGTGCAGTACAGCATCATTTGATTGAGAAGCAAGCGACGCTTCTTCAGCAGCAACTGCCGTAGAACTCCCCACGGATTCAACATGAACATTATCCTCCTCCTCGTCCTTGAAATCCTTAAGATCCCCCTGCCAATCCTTCCCATGGCAAGCTGAGTCTCCGTCAGAAGCTGAAGTGTGGCAAACTTCAGGGCGTGAGGCCGTATAACATGTATGATGAGAATAATGCAACTGCTCATGCAGCAACTCCTCATTCTGCAACCCCACATCCTGCAACTCCTCATCATGCAACTCCTCTTTCCGAACACCTGGGTCAACAGAAGCCGACGGTGCGTCAGGAAATGGACTGCGGCAAACTTCAGAGCTTGAACCCAAGAAAACAGTATGCTGAGAATAATGCAACTTCTCATTCAGCACCTCCTCACCACTCTGCAAATCCTCATCCTGCAACTCCTCATTCTGAACGCCAGGGTCAAAAGAAACAGTGCCCAGTCTCGACTGCAGCCCACCATCTGGAGACTGCGCCACATCTGGAGAATACGCAACCGAATGAGACGAGAAAGCTTCTCCACGATCAGTTGGCCCAGCAGTTGGCACCGATAAAGAACTCAACAATATACTGACCTGCTCCTCCGAGTTCCCCTGAAACGGGCTTGGGTTTCGCGCACAATCATCGAGGTTATCAAACCAGCCAAAGCGGGGAAAGTATTCGGATCAGCCACAAAATATGGATCACGAGCATTAAACTGCATAACATCAAATACAGCTGTTCTACAAATCGCCAGTTTGATTATCCTTGATTTTCTTTTCCCACTGGTCGAAACAGAACTCATCGAACAAAATTGCGCTGTCATGATGCCGCACAAGGAAGGGGCACGCAAGAACAACTAATCAATCCAATGCAGACAGATCACCCGTTCGGTACTCAGAGATGTACGTCACGTGTGCATGCACAACCTGTCCGCACGATGCGGCTCGAGGAGTCCCCGACGGGCCAAGGCCGCGGGAGAGCGGGGGGCAAGCTCCGCTTCCGCAACCTTGGTTTTTTTTTTTGCGGTTTGCGGTCCGCCACTAGAATCCGAATCCGAATCGGCGGAGCAGTGCAACTGAGCCCCCACCATCTTAGGTAGGTCGCAGCAGAGCGCACGCCACCTTAGCAGCAGCTCTCGTCAGGGCAGCGCAGGCAGCTAGTTCACAGCAGGTTACCGTGCTACCAGGAGGCAAGCTCATCGCCTCCTCGGCCACATCGTGCCAATGGAAGCTGTGCGAGCTGGTGCAGGAGGAAGGAGGAGGAGGAGGAGGAGGAGGAGATGGGAAAATCAACCTGCACGCTGGAACCCCTACCTACAACGCCAATCTGAAGCCACCACCCACCTCCACATCCTTCATTACTGACACCCCCATCGAATGCACCACGGAGAGCAGTCTTACGAGTACTGAGGAACTTATCATATGCAAACCAGCGAGTAATAGTTTGGCCACCTCTGGCCTCCCACGACAATCTATCCGCACGCTCATTACCCTCACGAAAGAAATGCTTATACAGATTCTGTCCCGATGCAGGTGAGGTCAGTCCCCATCCAGACAGCATCGATACCGTATTTTGTAGTGTTCCCACCAGTCGTACATACTGCTTGTTGCGAATCTGCCACTCACCACACATCCAGTTAACAACCGTCTTACTATCTCCCAAGATCTCCATCCCAAGACGCTCAATATTCTCACACCTCCACTCCGTTTCATTCTCATAATTAGCGGCAATACGTTTGCTCATCCTCTCATTCATCTCACTCTCCTCCTCCTCCTCCGCCTTCACGTGCCTCACACCAGGTGGCCTGGGTAAAACAAACAAGTCGAACAAGTGTTGCATGCCAATCACAGTCAGCAAATGTTTGCAATATTTCTCTCGGGGCCCAGCGGAGCTGTCGAACGAGAGGTACCACTCACAACCAAAGAGATCGCACAAACACCAGTCCCACACAGTATGTCCACGGGCAGGTGCGCCCATGCTCATGCGTGTGAGATGCTTCCTATCTTTTGCAGGCAACGCTAGAATACATGTGTCACGATGTTCCGTCCACTTCCCCCTTCCATGTAGCATGGCCAGCCTAGATATCATCCATTCACGTGGCATGTCCGACTCCTCAGGTATGGCAGGCTGATCATCCGTTGTCCGCCGACGACAGCCACTCGACATCTGGGAGATCTGAGATACATGATATGCATGAGAGGCCGCCGCCACCGCCATCGCCCGAGTTTTCCTCTGACGCCGATTTGGTACCGTCTCTCCCTCCCCCTCCACTGTGTGTGTTGTGTATCTCCTCATACGAATACTTGCAGCAACTGAGACATCCTTAGCCCAATCCCAACAACGAAATATCCATATCTGCACCGCACTTCGGAATCCAAGCTCAACAAAACTCTGTCGTCCAATTTTTTTTTGCCTACGTTGAAACTCAGACCAGCCTTCAGTTCTCCGCTTGCGTAGACCTGACATTATCGCCAGACAGCTACCTTCAAAAGAGCGAACAGCAGCAATGGTGGAATAGTCGGGCGTTCTGCCCTCACAGTTGAATAATAATGCAGCAATCACTTTAGCTTGATAACGAGTAAATCTCTCAGCCAGGCCAATCCCAGAGCAGCGATAATAAGCGATTTCCCCAAAGAACATCTTCTGGGCTTTCTGGAGCATGGCCTCTGAGTCCGAGTGGTCCTTCCAGGTCTCCTCCAGAGTGGCTCCCAGGATCTCAAACGACTGAACACGCGGCAGGACCACTTCTCGGGCCCCAAGAGCAGCGTCACTAGACGGCACCAGCACACGGATATCCTGCTCGGGGGACGGCGGGATGCCAGGCGGCGCACCAAAGTAAATATACATCAAAGATTTCGGCTTCCAGGTCATTCCTGCATTCATCAGCGGGATACTCATGTCACGCACCATCAACTCGAGGTCAGTGCGGGTCTTCGCATACAACAGAAGATTATCTGCCCAGAAACTGTGGGTCATACGCTCACCGTTGAACATGCGCTCATCATTTTCCAATGTGATACCGTACTGCGTATCCTGCCTCCACCTGTCGATCACATCTCTCCAGAGTACAATAGAAACTGCTAGGAAAATCATCGGTCCCTCCATTCCTCCCGTTCGAATAGATTTGTCCCAATAGACCGCTGAAGATGCCTCGATGCCCTCGAAGCTGGCCACGCACTGATTATCCATCATGGGTCCAATCAACGCCACAATGAGATCAGCTGGTATGTCAAGAGCACGAAGACAGCGCATGGCGAGGCACGGAGTGACATTATCGAAAGCTTGTAAAATATCAAGGTTGGCAAGCCACAAACTGTCTCCTTTGCCCCAGACAGCGGAGTGCTGGCTGAGCCTTTTGGCAACGCTGGTGATTTCCGATGTTTTACGTCCCGATCTGAATCCGTACAGGCATACATAGTGTCGGTGCTCCTCAATCCTCTTCTCAATCATCATCACAATACATGTCATGTACCATTCCATAAGACACGACTGTAGACATAGTACACGTGTATCTGTCAAATGTTGTATGTCCATTTCTTTAGGCATGAGCGTGGCAGCTAGTTGACGCCAACTGTCGGGGCAACATAACCTGCGGGAGTACACACCTTGGAAGCTCACCAGAACACGTCGAACAGATGCCCACGAGAGCTGTTTCAACGTCGCGACAGTCACGTTGTCGGGACCTGGGGCCTTTCCCGTGGACAGCTTCGCCCTCGCCCGCAGCAGGAGCGACATCGAGAACACCTCTGAGGATCCGCTTCCCGAACATAGACCACGCAGCGACTGTAGCTCACGAAGGGTCACCTCCCTGGCCTCGGGGTCCTCCACCTTAGACTTCATGTGCCCCAATATCTCGTCCCCCCACTCCTCGCGGTTCTGGGACTCCATCCCGTTGGCAAGGATCAACGTCTCCGTCTTGGCCCTCCTCCTCCTCCTCGTGTTCATTTCCGTCCTCCACCTCTGTACTCTTGCCTCCAGCCTCCTTCTTTCTCTCCTCACTATCTTTGAGCACCGTTTGGCCTCCTCTCTATCCCCACGACGAAGTGCTTCGCGTTTACTTTCCTGGGCGGCCCAGTGGATCTCGGATTTCTTTGGCACATTATTCCTGGGATTGATATCTTTCTGGGGGGTCTCCTCGGCGGCCTTTATGAGGTCAGGTCCCAGCATATCCAACATCTCCTGGCGATCCTCTGGGTCAGCATTTTCCTGGCACAAAGCACGGTAACGACTGCCCCGATCGTCCATGTTCTTCGCAAACTCAAGCTGCGACACCGGTTGCAAGTAGATGAATTTGCGAGCAGGCTGGGTCCGTCTCTTCGCAGACGGTGCACAAGACAAGCGAACAACTATGCAAGCGTGGTCAGACAGCGCACGCTCGTATCTGCTGCATGGGTGCTCCGTCCAGGCGTGGCCGACTTCCGCAGGCAGCATCCAGCCTACAGTGATCTCCTGCCTGTGTAAACGACGGCTGACACCAACATAGTCGAGTACCTTCTCCACCCCCGTACTTGATTTGAAAGTAACCCTCCTCTGCCCAAATGTGTTCTCCATCCTGATGCCCCAGAGCCCGCAGAAGTCCAGTAGGGCCCTCCTCATAGATTGCAGCCTAGACGCCCGTCGAGTTTCGAAGCCCGAGACAACCCTATGAGGTCTTGTTTTACGTGCACCACGTTTTGTTTGAGTCATATACGGGTTGCCGTCATCCGATCCTTCCTCCATCCCAGTATCAATCCCCGTAGAATCCCCAGCAATCCCAGACGCCTCCAGCAGCCCTGATCCAGTAAATCTGAAGCCTCTGACCTCCGAATCTGGCTCGAGTTCGACGTTAGCATCTGTCAAGAAGACCAGGTCCTGCGGCTGCTTCGGGAACTTAGACCTATGTGTGCGGAGCACTTGGGATATATCAAACAATATCTGCTCATACACATCATGTTCATGCTGTTCTTCCGTAAGGGCACGAATACTCTCATGTGGCATATATGCAACAATAACAGTAACACTAGAATAACTACAAATCACAGAACCTTTGCCACGATATGTGGCTCTGAGCGAGTCTCTCCAAGACTTAGACATGATCACCGCAGCCTTCCGACAAGTACTCCGAAAAATTGTGTAACCTCGCATGCTGAGATCACGAACTGAAAGGAACTGGCACTCGCACAACCCCGCGAGTCCCACATCTAAGCGACGTAGTGAATTAATTATGTCATGGCCGTTCTCTGCACCTGCCCGACGCACATTCCATGACGCAATGGTGTCGTGGCACCTCTAGTTCGTACTGGAAATCCTCGCTCGCAACTCATCAATGTTGATCCCTGGCTCAAGCTGATTCATTGCACGAGTAATCTCCCAGCCATTCTGCAGAGAGAACTTGGCCAC